TACCTTCTATCATATGATTTGTAATTTGGCAATCAGCTCGCATTTATGACCTATTGCAGTGTCCTACGGTTAAATGATTATGATTTGCAAACTTCCCAGTCAATTAGGAAATCAGTTTTGTTTAACAACTACATGATTCACTTAACAAGCATACAATTCACATAACAACAATAAAATCAGATCCAGAACAATTGCATCACTTAGCGACCGAAACTCAGGTTCTAACTAGTTTTAAGTGGAGGACTGCTTGTATAATAGGCCTACATAGAAAGGGCTACAATAATAAAATAAAAATCCTTGCATATTCTTATTGTGTATAAGGTATAAAGTACCATATAATTAATTTTATATTAAATATAAAACAGCATATAAAGGTTGAGTTACCATTCCAGAGAAGGAGTACAGTCCAAATTATATAGTACAATGCAAGTATTTGGAAATCCATTTCAGATAGATCAACAAAACTTTCTAGGTAAACAATTCCAATCCTGTACTTTATTTCAGTGATATTGGCAGCAATAAATATCATGTTTCTATTATATGCAGATCTTCTCCAGGATGATCTGTCCCCAGTAAGGCCCTTTATGTCTTCCAATGTGCACCCATTGCCACTGTAATTGAGCCTTTCCATGTTGCTGCTAGTTTCCTTTTCTTCTCTTTGCCCAGCTTTCCCAGCATAGCAACAAGAGCTGGATCTTCCCATAATATGTCCAAAACATGGGGAAAACTCTGGATAGATTTGTTCTATGATCCATCTTATTCTTGCCTACCCATAGAATTATCAAGAGTCTTCTCCAACACCAAATTTTATATGTATTACACACACACACACACACACACACACACACACACACACGTTCTGTTTTCCCGCACAACAATTCTGTGAGGGGATGGTTGGGTTAAGGGAGAATGATTGGCTGAAAGTCACCTAGACAGCTTTTATGCTTAATGGGGGGGGGGAGGAGGGGCTAGAACTCACAATCTCCTAATATCTAGGCTGGTATCTTACACCAAACAGTCTCTTAAAATCTTGCCTAGGTGCTCTTAATTTTTTTTTATCTTTATTTTGCTTTTAGCCTTTCATTTTATATTTTCTCTTGACTAAAGACAGTAGGGCAGGCTGTATGGATTGATTTTTAATAGTGAATGCTTTTAAATACTTTATATGGAGAGTGGGGTAAAAAGAAGTGACACAGAATGAACTCAAGAATGACTTCACCTGACAGCCTCCAAAATAACTGAAAACTGCCAGTTATTTAGAATGCAAGTATGACGTACTTGTAAGTAAATCAAATAATAATAATAATAGTAATAGATTTTTTTTTGCATAAAGTTACTCTGGAATGAGATTTGAAAGCAAAGATTGAGATATGTTCTTTGATCTCAAAAGATTGCCAAAATACTTTTACAACATAGCCCTCTCCTAAGGCTGTTGCTGTCCCTCCAGCAACTTTTCTTTCACTGGAAAGGACAGATCAAGAATCTCAGAATGAGAGTGCCCTGGGCTTTTTTTATCTAAGCAATGCCTTTAACAATACAGATAGTAATCTCTATTTTTGACCACTTGCCATTTATAAATAACAATGTGGATTTTTAAAAAAGTATGTTGAGACATTTACACAATAATTATTAGACAACTAACTGCATTTATGGGGGCATAGTGTTTAGAGAGAGCAACCTGCACTTAGAGCTATTTAAACACCAGCTCAACCACCATAGAAGGACTCCCAATTACTATGCGATGAAAAGAGGAATTAACTGTAACTGGATTCTTTAAACAAACCAGATTATACCACATATTTATTTTAATACAGATAATAAAGTTTTCTTTATCTAATAAAGAGCTATTGTTTTGTCTTTAAGCCAAGTTTTCTATTGTCAACTCTACCTGATACCCTTACAGACAGCCAAATGGCTACCCAGTGAAAGAGGATGTAAAGAGTTTTGGTGACATTCAAATACCCTCAATCCCTGGCATGCTGCTCAAAATAAGACGTTATCTGGCTACATTTCAAATATTCAAATATTTCCATTATGTGTGGGTGATAAAATACATTCACTTTTCCACTCCTCCACTTGCCAAAGGTCTCTCTGAATGCACTAGCAATAATAAGCTGCTGACTATAAACAACTGTGAGAATTTAGCCTTGACCAAGAGCAATTCAGATAAACACCTAGAGATGATTAGTGATAAAAAGGTTACAGATAAAGCTCTAGAAATACAGTTGATTCATTATTTTGGGGCACTGCCAAATCACAATACAGATAAAATATTGAGAAAATTAAGGAAGCAACAGCAGATACTGTTAACAACATGCATTGCAGCAGAATCTCTGGTTTAAAGGCAATATCTCCTAATATACTCCTCTAATTGCATTTTGACCTGAGTGTTTTTTCAGGAGGCAACTGGACTTTGTTTTTTCTTTGAAGACATTTCACTTCTCATCCAAGGAGCTTCTTCAGCTCTGACTAGATAGTGGGATTTATATTCCTTGCAGGCAACTGGTCATTTGGATTCTTTTAGAGTGTTGTTTATGCCATTTGGAGGTTTACCTGTATCCTCAGGGTCACCTGAAAAAATATGTGTAGAGCCTCAGGATGTTGTCTGCCTTGTGTCCCTTCACTATTGGAGTCAGGCATAGGCTGTTGGGAATGAGTCTGTGTTGTCTGCATCTCAGACTGAAGCACAAATGGTTCCTGCAATTCATCCATTCATCCTCCAGCAGTATTTGAAGGGTATTCATCCAAAAGAACATAGATAAATGTCTATGGAGATTCTCAGTCATCCAGGTCATGGTTGTCCCAAAGGACAATCTTTCAGAAGGCAACTTATTCTTATTTTTCTTTGAAGATGTTTTGCTTTTCATCCAAGAAGCTTCTTTAGCTCTGACTAGACGGTGGGGAATGGAAGGATTTATATTCCTTGCAGGCAGCTGGTCATTTGCATTCCTTTAGAGAGTAGTTGAGGCCATTTGGAGGTTTACTTGTATCCACCTTTGGGACAATCATGACTGAGATGACTGAGAATCTCCATAGACATTTTGACCTCAGGATTCTTAGCATAAAATTAAATAGAAGAAAGTTGATGTCAGCTCTAATAGATGAACAGGAATTACAGAAGACTATTTTCAATATTTTGGATGAACCAATCACAACCGGATCAGCAACTTCTTTGTTCTGGCCAAATACTGGAGCTTCTGTATCCCTAGGTACACACAGCCTAAAATGGATGATCCAGGGTCTGTGGAATGAAGTGTCAGATGAAAACTCACATGGATGCTAGACAGAATATTATAACAAAAGGAATTCAACTTGGTGATATGTTGCATAATCCCAGCAAGCTGTCTCAACCTGTAGTGACATCAAAAAGAATCCAAGTGGCTGATCAGTGTGTATACCTAAATACCCAGGTTCCCTTTATCGTAAATCTGGAGATGAATGACTGAATATGGTACCTTAGAAGCCAAATGTTCCACTCCTTCTGGTCTATAGGTTGGCTAAATAATACAACTATTCAAATATTAACTTGGAATCTAGCAAGTAAAAAGAACTAATTATATGTCTTATAGAATTTCTATCCAATTTTATTCTGAATGCAATACAAAAGAACAAAAGCTGAAGACGGATAGAGTTAAAAGCATGGCTTTAAGTGCTGACACAGAAAGTAGAAGATAAAGTTTAGGCAAAGAGGATTGACCCTGCTGATCAGTGCTGTTATACAAACAGTACAGAATTGATGCTGGATGTTTACAGATCTCTTCAAGCATCTAACAAAATAACAGAGTTGGAAGGGACCTAGGTCTTTTAGTCCAACCTCCTGCTCAAGCAGAAAATCCAATACCATCTATTTATTCTTCTTCTGATATATGATAAACATAGAACAAATTTTGATAATCACAAAAATTCAATGTGAGGCTGGAACTACTTACATAAGATAACACCATATAAATAACAGCAATATTATGCTGGTACAGTTGTTAAACCTGATATGCAAAGTATAGTTTGCAAATTATAGGGGACCCTATAATTTTTTTCTGTTTAGGACAAAATGTTCTAGGATTCTAATTTATATTAAGTATATTCCACAGCTTATCTCAAAGCAGACTGTTGAAAAGAGAAAAAAAAGCAAAACAAGTGCACTGAAGAGAACTGCAACTGAGAAACTTTAAAAACATGTAAACCAGACTTTCTTGATTTAATATTGTTCAGATGCACTGGATTACAATTTAAACACCTCCTGAGTAGTACTTTTAATAGCCATACTGAATGGAATTAGTCCATTGGGCAATGATTTTCTAACAGCAATTTAAATCCACTGAAGAATTAGAAGTTATCCATTCTTGCCTTAAAACAATATCTTTGGAGGATTAAAACTCCTAATAGTTCTAGTTATTGTTTTAGTTAGTAAAGTTTTATACATAGTTAAGATTCGGAAAACTTATATCTTGATATATTTCTCATTAAACACAAAGTAGCATTTATTTCGAAATGCATACTGCATTGTTTCAAACATTTCATATATAATGGATATTTTTGTTTTCAAGAAGCCAAAATAACTTCGGAGTTAAACCTAATGTAATAGTAATAGGAATGTAATAGTAATAGGGAACCAGGCTAATAATCGCAAAACTTGAGGCCACGGAAATGTGACGATGAGTTTCGCCCCAGCATGCCCTAATTCGCAGTGACATCGCAGCGGCAGCCGAGGGGATGGAACTTTCACCTCTTTTAACCTCGGAACCCAATTGTAGTTTTCTATTGTCAATCAGACGCTGGCAGAACAAATAAAATCCCTCCCCTCAAGCACTATCTCCAACGACGCGTCACAATTCATCTCTCTTCATGAAGCGGCGGGACCTACCCACTTTTGGAAAAGAAAGAAAGAAAAAAAGGCGGGCCTCACTTGAGTTCCCACCTCTCTAACGAATTCTATTGGTGTCGTAACTGGTTGCGATATTGCTATTGGCTATCTTTGATGGCCACTCAAATAGCGGCTCTGCTGGGCGGGGCAGGCATCTGTCGTGTCCCGAGTCTCTCTTTCCATCAGCTCTTCTGTCTTCTTCACACTTTTGTGGGAGCTGTAAAGCGAGTGGAGCTGAGATCGGCGACGCCAAGGGGAAAAGCAGCGGATCTGGAGGGCGACTGTCTTGACCCAGAGTGAGACAAAGGAATAGGCGTGCGCTCTGAAGGAACTTTTTTTTCCTGAGAAAAGGGTAAAAAAAAAAAAAAAAAAGGAATCGCTCTCTTTGTGTGCGCGTGCGTCTCTCTCTCTCTCTCTCTCTCTCTCTCTCTCTCTCTCTCTCTGTGTGTGTGTGTGTGTGTGTGTTTGTGTTTATGTGTGTGTGTGTGTAGGGATTTGGGATGATTGGCTGGAGCAGGTCTGGAATAGCGGCTCTGGGGGCAGGGGAACAGCGGTTTTCTTTTCTCCTCACGGCGAGGTCGCAGTTTTGAACCCTCGTCCCCACCCGGGAAATTAGCTTTTTTTGCCGCGGCCCCTCTCCTCCCCGCCTTTGTGTTTCCTCCACTGAGGAGAGGCGGGAGGCGGCGAGGAGCCAAGAAGCGGGGTTCAGGGCGTGCCGGTTACTGTCCTCTGGTCTCGATCTGGAGAGGCGACAAGTTACGGTGACAACGGAAGGCGGGCAGCGAGGTGGCCAAGCGCGAGTGCTGGCATGGCTGGAGCCCCTCGCTGCTGGAGTGGGATTCGGTTGGGCGCTGAGGGAGACGGCGAGGAAAGCGAGTTGCTACCCGGCGGAGAAAGGTCCTGGTGCGAGGCGCGACTCTCAGCTTTTCCACGTCTAAAGGTCAGGTCGGGATACTTGAGCTTTTAGATCCTCCCGCTCAGGCCTCCGAATCTGAGACTGCCCCATTCCGCTTGAGCCGCTGGAGAGGGAACTGCGGGAACTAAGTTGGGCCAAGTTCTGAGTCAAACGGGCGGCATCGGGAGGTCACCGTGCAAGCCTACCCTACTCTCGGCATTGTAGCTGCTTCTCTTACTTTTGCTCTGCACGTTTAGCCAATTGCAGCAAAAATTAAAAGAGGGAGGGAGGGAGGAAGAGGAACAGAACTCTGTGGCCCTTCATTATGGAGCATTTTAAAGCTTCCTTCCACCATAACTCAAACAACACTCCTCCCCTTTCTAATTTTTAAGAATGGGTTAACAAAATGATCCAAAGGAAATCAAATAGATTTCTAGATTTCATATTATATATGTGAGCATAATGAACTGCATGCTTTGCAGTCCACCTCCAGGCACACAACCCTAGTTATGGTTTTCATTTTAGACTAAAAACAATTCAAGAAGCAGTGTTACATTTCTATAATTTTTATATGGGACCTACATTGAACACCCACAGAAATTACAGACTGTGCAGGATCCATCAGCATGCAATGAGCTACCTCCAACGATTCAAAGATTTTTGTGCAAGTGGATTTGATATACAGGTAGTTCTTGACTTACAACCACAATGGAGCCCAAAATTTCTGTTAAGTGAGACATTTGTTAAGTGAATTTTGCCTGGTTTTACGACAGATATTAAAGGAATCATTGCAGCTGATAAATTAGTAACATAGTTGTTAAGTGAATCTGCCTTCCCCATTTTGCTTCTCAAAAGGTTGCAAAAGGTGATCACATGACCTTGGGACACAGTAACAGTGGTAAGTATGAACCAGTTGCCAAGCATCTGAATTTTGATCACATTATCATAAGGATGTTACAAAGGTGGTAAGTTTGAAAAATGGTCATAAGTCACTTTTTTAGTGATGCTGTACCTTTGAACAGTCACTAAATAAACTGTTGTAAGTTGAGGACTACCTGTATCAAATTTTATTCACATGATTTTTGCACGGGATCCTTATAGAGCAATGAGACTAATTATAGATCACATCATTATTGATGTGTTGCACTGCCACTTTCCACACTAGTCAACCATTCTAGGGTCCTTCCCTTGAGGTCTCCCTTTCAAATATTAAGCAGATCTGCATGTTTCTACTTATATCTGGAGCCAAAGTTAAAGAGGTGCGGCGTCCTGCTGAGAGATATAAACATCCTACAGACTTTTAAACATCAAAATGCTCAATGGAAGTAGACTATGTTAGCTTTGGAGATACAATTTTATTTTTAAGATAAGTTCCATCTTTTTAAAGATAGTTATTTTAAAAGAGTAACTATTCTATCATAGCATAGACCTAATGAATCAGAATAGGAGCACTTCTACTGTAACTATCATTGTGCTGACAGATGATTGCATTGGAAGCAGCTAAGGAGAAATTGGGAAGAATGAACACAACAGCAAGATGGTATGAGAGGAAAATTGATCTTGTGTTATGTAACTATCTCTTGCTGTTGGCCTTGAGTTACGTCTTTGCTTGTATTTTGCAGCCTTTTCTTGTTGCTCTGATATTTGTTCCATGTGGAAATCTGAGTTACTCTTGATTTCACATGATGTTAGAATAGCAGCTCCCAATCTTTTCTATATCCCTCACCGTTAGAACGCTTCTGATATACTCTTGCACTTCTTACAGAAGTTCAAAATAATGGCAAGAATTATGCATATGCACTATAATTTTGAAAACCCAAGTTTTTGCACTCCCTGGAATATCTGGGTCGGTCACTGGGATCAGAGGTTTCGTCTTCCAAGCTTTTGGAGTTATGCTGGAGCCCATCCTCAAGGAAATTCTAATGGAATATTATATTCCATTAATTTGAAAGTTTGGAAGACTAAACATTCTAGTCCCAGTGACTGACCCAGATTGAATCCTGCAACATTATCCTGGGACACATAGAATTGCGCTCTTGCTTTAGATCACAATTTTATACCATGATAATATGTAGAAATAGATGGTTGATGAATTAATTCTTTTCTCACATGGATCCTATGTAAGAGTTACATAAAAATTAGATTTTAGCCAGATTTTGGGAATGGTTCTAGACAGAAGAAAAGTAGCTACAGCCCAAAGAATTAACAGAGACATCCATGAATCTTAATTCAAACTGATATTGTAGCAGATGCTTCTGTGGAATAGAATCTACTTCATAAAATTCACGAAGAAGAAAAAATATGGATTTGGATACCTAGTTGGTTTTGTAATGTCCTATCCTTTATAGAATCAGCACATTCAGAATATGATATTGGATGAGGGTTTTGTCAAAGGCACTTGGATTCCTATAAAGAGATTTTTATAGGCAAAGAAATTAATTTTCTTCAAAGGGCATCTGTGTTCACAAGTTAATTTATATGCAACTAGATCTTCTGCCAGAAGAAATACAACTGGAAATGCCAACAAAGGGTTTATCTTTCAGATTCTTCATTATTAATAAAGTGAGTAATTGTAAATGTATGTTATGGAAATAGTTTCTACAGAGATAATGCTAGTATTCAGTTTCTGAAAGATACAAATTAGTCACTCTATTCTCATTCTTTTCATTAATAAGTATTTTGGCATTGACTGTTTTGCTGCTTTTACTTGATCATAATGCAATAATGAGATGTGATCTTTTTGATCTATTTTTCCATGGGTTACTACCATGCATTTTAATATCTATATCAAGAAAATAATTTTAAAATCATTTTCCCATTATTAACTGCAAAATGAAAATTGCCTTTAAACATTGTTTTTTTATTTTTTTGCAACTTTGTATGTATAGCAAAGGCTGTCATTTGAACTTTTCAGGTTTGAAAGGTAGGCTACATTATATTCCACTCATGCAGTTTTATGATTTAAAAATAGTTAGCAAATGTCTTAAAGAACTTTTACAATATGCATAACAGGTAGATATATTTTCTGAATTATAGTCTTTAATTTTTAACTCTTTTGTGCTACAAGGTTTTTTTTCCTAAATCAAAAGAGTCTAAAGTAAAATTAATATGAATCAACCAGATAGAACCTCATATTCTATGAGTCATTATAAAAACTGAGTGACAAATATCACAGAGTTAGTTTAATAGCTGCTTATCTTGGCATCAGAGTATGTGTTCATTTGACATGTATACATAAGGAAATTTATAGCATTTATAATTTAGAGTTCACAATAATGCAGATTTTCTGCCTAGTAATTGTGTGCCATGGTAATTTCTTTTGTAAAAGGATTCTGACAATATTTTTATGTCAGTAATTTTTTTGGAGAAGAAAAAATTTATTATATTGCATTAATTTCAATTATACAGATATTATGCAAAAATCCAGACATATGCAGTTTCTCCTCTGCTTTTTAAAAATGTTTTAAATTTTATCCAAAATGCAAAATCAGAAATTTTCTAATGCAGGCAGTTGGAATTTGTTGGGTATATATAAAACAAAAACAGAATAAAGATATTTCCTCTAGGCAGTGGAAAAATTGTAGTTAATTATATTTATTTACCAACTTCTTCCTAAAGCTTCTGATGATATACACATTCTTTCTTTCTTATCCTTCCCCCTCATCCCCAGTTGAATTATTCCAAATGTATTCCATGAACTTTATGACTAAATCAGGATATGAATGCTTTCCTTCTAAATATTAATCTGGTACTTTAATGGTTGGGGTTTTATCATCATGCTTTTTTTCCTACACTAGTGCCAGAATCAGTCAATAATTTCTGAGAATCTGTATGGTGGATCATATCAATCATAATAGGAAATAGCTATTTCCAAATTGCCTTAATTTCAGTGTTAAATATAGAAATAGAATCATAGGGTTGAAAGGGACCTTGAGGTAGGAGTCCTTATACTATCCTGGAAAAATGGTTGTCTAATTTCTTCTTAAAACCTCCAGGAATGGAGCACCCATAACTTTGGGAGGCAAGATGTTGTATTGACTAATTGTTCTTACGGTTAAGAAATTTATCCTTAGTTGAAGGTTGGATCTCTCTCTGATGAGTTTCTACCCATTGCTTCTTTTCTTGACATCAGGTGCTTTGGAGAATAAATTAACTTCCTCTTCCCTGTGACAGCCTTTCAGTTATTGGAAGAAGTCTATTATGTCACCCCTGAGTTTTCTTTTCTTAAAGCTAAATATACCTAGTTCCCTTAGCTGTTTCTCATATGAAAACCTTTTAAATTTTAGGAGGTGGGACTCTAATATATTTATCAATTAATTCTTTGGTTCTTTTTGTCAGCAGCCAGTACATCAAATATCATGCCATCAAATAAAATTACCATCAGAAAGTTCAAAGCACAGAAATAACTAAAGAAACAAGAGACAACCGAGCAATAGCTACAGATGTGCCCACAGCAT